AAAGGAATGAGAGCAGTTACTGTATGTACATACATATATACTTGAATGCATATAAACAAAAACCCATATATATATATTTATATATACGTATATGTGTATATGTATGTGTATTTTGCAGTTTTTCCACTCTTTTCATACAAACTTTGTACGATTATTTTATTTATTTATATATATATATATATATATATATATATATATTTTTTTTTTTTTGCAAATTTTTGCAAAATAATCATCATCACTACACGAGTGTAAAGTTGTGCACTATTCTATCCATATAAGAAAGTGAAAGTTTTGAAGAAAAGTTTCTTAAGAGTTTTACTTCAAGAAGAGAAAATTAGAGGTATTCCGTCGGATCGTTTGATATATATGCACTTTTTGTTGTTTTTTGTTGTTGTTTTTTCCTTTCTTCTTTTTCTTATCTTCTTGACGAGTAAAATATTGAAAAGTTTCCTTTTATAGGATATATGGGTTATTTATGGTATTTATAAAAGTGAAAGCTTTACTTACTTTAAGGGTTGCTTACGAAAGAAATTAAAAAAAAGTAAAAAATAAATTTATTAAATGAAAAATGAGAAAACATAATCGAAAGGCAACGACGTGTTAATGCAAGTGAAGTTCTATAAGCCGCTAAATTTGAAAAAGTTATAAGTCTAGTTATTCATAAGTCGACCGATTAAAGAGATTTTGTATTTAAATTGATTTTAAAATGTTGGCATAAATGACAACAAAGGCATTTTCTTTAGCAGTAGGGTACAAAAAGTGACAGTGCGGCATGTAAATACAACATCTCTTGTTCTCTTGAATATTCTTTGATATAAAATTTTGATTTCTCCCATTTGATTGATCCCATTCATCATTCAATTCTACTACTTAAAGTCTACGATATTCCCGGTTGTGATAACATATACAGGGCTGGTCTTGCGATTGAATCCAAGTTACATAGCCTGACATAGCCTTAAAGGAGGAGAGATGAGTATCTTTGTGAAAAGATCGTTCTTGCATGTACAAGAAATTTAAATTTATATGAATTATGTAAATGTTCCATCCTTTCGGCACTTCCTAAAATATCGGATAAAAATAAGTTAAGGCCAACTAATTAACACTTTACATCGTATTGCGTATCAAAGTTCTTCCACAGATCTCTTCATAGCATAATATGAAAAATTGTACCTTAATTTTCTTACGAAATTTTTAGTATTGGAAGCGATCTGATAATTGTCCTGTTTATGGTTCAAATTGACCGCACTACGTTTTTATATGCTAGATCACAATTTCGTAGCACTTATATGAAATATTAAAAACTTCTTTTTTTTTTAATAAAGCTTTGCGATATCGAGCCACTTTAGTTCAGGCGTAGCGTAGATGCTTGGTTGGACGGACATCGTCCGCGGACAGACATGCTTAAATCGATTAAAAGTGGTCTATTTTCAGTCCGTCCGAGTATATCAACATTTGCTTAATGCAGTCACACCTCGTCCCTTATCACAATTGGTTTCAATACGAAAGTTTATGAACGGCACCCGGTTATATATGAATGAATGAATGATTGCATGAAAGTGAATGATTGTATAAGAAGCTTCGGCGTTTCTACGCTTTAATATGCCTGAAACGCATTGAATCTGTGTAGCAGGCAGATTTGATGGCCAGGAAATGGTAACAAAAATTTGCAATGACAATTAAAGGCTATGGATATCTACGATATATTTGTGCGAGACAGCAATAGGCAAAGATGCGGAAATGCTGATTCAGTCAAGTTTCCAAGTTTCGTGCATAACGTATTTGCAAGTGTGTCCAAACTATAAGTACTTAGGTGCTGTAAAGTGAACGAAAAAAGTTTGCTTATTCTCATTTCCTGGCAGTCGATATAAAAAGTTTTACTTAACAATTTCTTATGTGAAATTTTTTTGTTTTTTTTTTTTTTTTTCTCTTCGAACCAGTTTAAAACTGTTGCAGTTATTGTCTTTTAAAATATATCGATGGATTTTTTTTTTTTTTTTGCAATTTCATTCATTTATTTATTTATTTATTTTTTTTTTTTTTCTTTAAATTAGTAAATCATTTTTATGGCTGAGTGTAGGCGTTTACTAAACGGTAAAAAACACTAAAAAATTACCCTAAAAAATGCACGATTCATTTGTATTATTATTTAAAGAAATGAAGCAAAAAACCTTACCACACACATACTTTTCAAGCAAAAGGAAAAAAAAAAAAAAATAATAATAATAATAAAAACCCATATTAACTGCTATTTTATTACTAGGCATACAAATGCACAGGCTCACCGCCCCACAGCATTAATATTCATATGTAAAGTTGAAATATGAGTTTCATGTGTTATTTTTCTTTTCTTGCATTTCGTTTCTTGCAAATATAACTTTACACGCGCTGACCTCTGAACTCCTAAGATATGATACCACAAATGCAAATGTTGCTTGAAGGGGATAATGAAAGAGACAGAGAGAACAAGAGATACACATATATATATAGAAAGACAGAGAGAGCGAGAGAGAGGGAGAGAAAAAAAAAAGGAGAGAAAGACAGATGCAAAAAGACAAATGCAAATGATGAGAGAAAGAGGGAGAGAGTGAGAGAGTGAGAGAGAGTGAGCGAGAGAGAGAGAAAAGCAGTAACGTAAAGAGTTCGTAATTGATAATACAACTGTGGCTGCATTAAATACGTGCACGAAATTGTGTATTAACATTTAAAAGACAACTTATTGTCTATGTCCGTCCACTTTGTTGTCTATATGTTTGTTTATTCGTTTCAATTGAAAATTGTTGGTTTGTTAAGTTTTGTGTTTTTTTTATGTCTACTGCGTTAGACGGCAAAATATTTTTCGTGAGTCCAACTGTCATAACCACCTGTGAGTTGCTACATGTCAGCATATTTACCCACATGCAGAAATGTCGATTGCATACATATTGCACTTATGTGTGTATGCACTCGCGCGTTTGTGTGTGCAGTTTTCTTTTAATTTTTTAGTTCATTATATATATATATATAAATTTTTTTTTTTTTTTTCTATCATATAAAAGATAAGCTTGTCAAAATATACAGAAACAAAAAGCAAAATTCAAATGTTTTCAATAAATTGCAAAAAAATTTTAAATAACAAGAGTTGAGCATAATATCTGGTATAATAAACAAACCATATATACTAGATAGTTGGATAAGTTCTAATGCCTATATATGTATAATCAAAATTTTTGAAAATTATTTTAAATCATTGTTCGGTTCATTCATCCATTAGCTACGGCCTCGACCTTCGCGAGGGAAACAAGTCAAAAATTCATTTTGCGACATTCTTTAAAGATTTCGATACTAGCGACCTCTCAAGTAGTTTATGTGTGCTGTTAGAGAGAACATTAGTAAAGTGATCTGAAAATGTCAGTTTTGCTTATGGATTTGCTTATGGATGTCGAAAATTCAATGAAACATATATGTACCAATGATCAACATTTTTTTTTTGTAAATTCTTCCAAGACTATCACTGCCTTAACTAAGATAAACGAATGGACAAATACGCGAACGTATAATGCTCGCTTCAAAAACCGAGAATACATATAACATATCGCCCGAGTACCAATTTTTAAACGAAACATGTCCAAATTGCATAACATTCTTATCGTAAATTTATAAGTTACATCGCGTATAGTGACGCTACGTTTGTACTTTTCAAGACAATGGGAAAATCTGAACTTCGTATGTGGTAAAAATACCGTTCATGCAAATAAAGGTTTGGCAAGTTTCGTGCGAGTTCCGATCGAAACACAGGCAATGCTGAACGTTGCGGTCGGACGAATTCGTCAGTTACTCCAGAAAACAGAGACAATGCAAGTGGAGTTGCAAGAGATAGCTGAAACCTTGTTGATATCAGCCGACAGGGCGTGAGAATCGCACGACCATTTGGCCATGAGAACGCTGCGCTCGAAGTGGATGCAGAATTTGCTAAATTTCGACAAAAGCACTAACTAATAGGTTGGAGGGAAAGTTCTGGCATATTTTATTCATGTACTTTGCTTGATCTTCAACAGTTGCATGATGAATGCCTAACTCTTCTGCAATATCCCGATTGTCTTGAAAAGGGGCAAAGCATCATAGCATAGTGAAAATAGTGTAGCGTTTTTTATGTATTCGGATGACGAAATTGCAAAAAAAAAACCCTATCCAAAATGAAGAAGAAGACACACATTCTCCAGAGTCAGACCCGAGAAATTATTTGCTTATTGCAAGAGATTGCAAGAATGGCCGCCAGAAGGAGATATGGTTTCAGTGAAGAGCTGATTGCCGAGACTGAAGACTATTTTGAAGGCATAGCAATATCAGAGAAGAAGTGTTGAAAGGATTAATTTATGGTTATAAGAGATCATGTTAACGAATAAAGTAAAAATTTGCTTAAAAGTTCTTGTTTGTTTTATTTGTCATCCTATAAACTTATTGGGCGGTCTATAGCGTTTCTTGGATGGGAAGTAGAAAAACAATTGAATTGCATATATTGAAAGCTTCAATTGTGCGTTTTTGCTTACGAGTCGTATTGCTAAGTAAATGTTGTGAAGGATGTTAAAGCTTAACTAAGTCTCTGTAATGCGTAGAAATTCTTGTTATCGGGTAACGGGTTAGGAATTTTTTTATCAGCTCAATAATTACTAATAACTGTATCCTATTGCGATAGATTGATTAATAATTGATTTTCCTTTTTTTTCTTCTTCTTCTTCTTTTTTCATTCGCAGGACATTTCTCGACGAAGAAAGGATGATATCATCAAAATTCAAAATTTATTAAAAACGTTGGCAGCGTACATATATGTATGCATATATACAAATATATATTTATATGTATATATATATATATATATATACATATGTATTATAAATTACAAACTACTTGACAAAAAGTAATTTCCCCTTTTGACATTGCGACCATTTTTCAAAGATTTAAAATAAATTTAGCAAATATTGTGTTTTTCCCTTTATATAAAATTCTTTAGCGTTGTTGAAAATTTTAAAGTTATATAAATCAAAAAAGCAACAAAACAAAAAAAAAAAAAATTCAATTTTTTCGGTGATTTTGCGAAAACTCTGAGAGTTTTGTTCTCCTTCGCATCAAATATCCAGTAATATCCAGTAGAAAAAGGAAAAACATTACAGCAGAGGGCGACAGCTCAACGGCCAAAATAAATTAATATCTTATGGATTGCTGGACGGGTAACGCCCGACTGGCGCGTGTTTTAGTTTAAGGTAAGTTCTAATTATTTGTTAATTATTTTGAAAATGTTAGTGTATTTATACCCTACACCACTCATTACACAAGCGTATATTAAGTTCGTGCGAATGTTGCAGAAATAAATTCTGTTTGTCTGTCCGGCTGTCCGTCTTGTGTATTCGCAGTTTTTGAGATACTTTGACGAAATTTGGTACATCAACGTGTTTTGACCCGAACATGAATCCTATTAAAAATTGTTCCGATCGGTCCAATTTCCATATAATATTTCACTTTATTCTCCGAATAATTGCATTAAACGAAGTGGCGTAGGGTATTTAATGATGCGTTGTAGCCCACTGTATTGTTTCTATTTAATATTTAAGCAAGTACGCGATTATTATAATTGAAAATAACATACAATGTATAAAAAAGGGTGAGGAGTACGGTGAGAGAAGCAAAGCGAGAAAGAAAGAAATAAATAGTAAAAAAAAAAAGAGAATTAAAAAAGAGTGCGCGAAGTCTTTTAAGATCCACTATTTTGGGCGCATTTGATTTGCGTTATCGCTACGTTAACGTACGTTCGTGAGTAAAGATCATAGAGAAGAGCTTATTTCCTTCAAGCAGATCCTTGCTTATGAGTTGACTGACATGATTACAATTCACAATACCGATCATACGTTCTACTATTGCATATATAAAAAAAAAAAAAGGGAAAAGCAAATATGCTGTGACCTCCAGTTGGAATAGGTTAGGAATACCTATTTTGAAACGAGCTGCAGCGTCCGCTAAAAAATATAAATTTCTATATCATAAATGTTCTGGTTTGGGAATTACGCAACATATGGATGCACATATGTTGATACCAATATTATCGAATATTATTAAATATATTATTGAATTTATCTCTTCTATCGTTGAATCATTGAAGGATTGCGGTATATATTCATTTTGTCGAAACATTGCCAGCAACCAGAACGAAGTTTCAGAAATCTAATAAAATCATATTCTTGACTAGTCGCAAATTCTGAATTGCTTTAAGCATAGCCATCTGTCCGTCGGTGCATTTATGTTAGTCTGCCATAAGGATATTTTTGACAGCACAAATGACGTGAGAATTGTTCTAAGCAGGTTGATATTCGAAATGAGCTGAGAACATCTTTGTTTGCAAAAGCAAAAAAAAAAAAAAAAAAAATGAATTTTTTTGCTAATTATCTATGACTTTTAACAAATAAATTTAAAAAAAATTGTTCTTATCTGTGCTAATAATATATACATTGAATTTGTTAAAATAAACGTTCCAATTATGAAAGACAGACGGACGGACAATCGCTGATCAAGATTACATGTAAACATTTATAAGTCTCTTAAGGGATTGCACTGCACCACTCAAACAGCTTAAAATAGAGTCGTTTTTTTTTTAAAAATGTACTCGACAAAGGTAGTGAACATATTTTTCAATATTAAAAGCAAAAATTATTAAAGGCGTCTGCGAAGCGTTATGCAATCCGGGCAAATTTAAACCAAAAAATTTTTATTTGAAAAACAAATTTTTTTTGTTTTGTTTTTAATAAATTAATCCAGTGGTACAACAACTCGAGAATACTTTTTCAAAGTTTCAAGTGAATGGGATTAGAGTTCGAAAGGGAGAGAGTATTTGAAAAGAAGTATTATTAATTTATCTACTACTACTACTACTACTACTACTACTACTACTCCCTTCTACTTTATTTTGGTATATAATTTTCTTCGATCTTATTAAGACTTTGCACACTTCTTTTAAAAAGCATTGACTAATGATTGAACCCCCCATCAAATATTTATCTTAAGTTTTTTCACCCTACACAATTTATCAAATAGGGTATATTAAGTTTGTGCAGACGACACCGACGTTGTACCGATCGATTCAGAAAATGATTCTGAATCGATTTAAGTTTGTCTGTCCGTCAGATCGCCAATTCTGAGATATGATTTGATAGAGTTTGGTATACCGGCATGTTTTGCACCAAGGACAGACGCTATGAAAAACGCAGCGGATCGCATTACTCTTCGTGCAATACGGTGACGATCAGAAAGACGTTAGAAACGAGGAAGAGATAGGGAAACGGTAAATGTCGAACCCGCGAACAAAGACTTGATAGTCGCGATTCCCATCTACGCTACTCGTGCGGATGCTTGGTGGCGTAAGCTGTTTGATGGTGGGCCACGACCCACTATAACGTCATTACTTGTTTTATTAAAATAATTTTTCTTTTACCTGCAATTTATTAACTTTCATCTGCAATCTAAGGACTCTGTCGCTTTTGATGCATCTATGAAAGGTAAAATTGCATGCTTCACACTTTACGTGCTGCGAAATGAGAGAGAAAGTGAGGAAGAAATGTATAACTCTCACGACTAACGTCACAATTTTCGTTCAAAGCTTTTAATTGCTTGGCAAAAGACATCAGTTAGCCGATTAGAGCAATTAGGAATTAAGAGGCGGGACGTTACGATATTCCGGGATTTGGCACCGTCAGTCTGTCTCGAAACGTTTAGGGAAAATCTCCAAATTTTAAGGAAAAGTTTTCTTTCAGTTAATGAATCGTTTTCTCTATGCGGTTTAGAGCATTTATTAAACCAATAAAAAAAAAAAAAAAAAATTTTTTTTTATTAAATTTTGAATGGTGTTAGTCCTTAAAACGTGTTACAAGCCAAACAACGATCCTAGTTTATTTAGCTAATACAGTGCACTCTTGCACATCTTAAGGAATTTATCAAGTTGATATGATTGGCTTTTGTATAAAAAAAAAAGGGATAGCCTTTATCTCTTATATGCTTAGAGCAGCGAGTATCTAGGTTTCGGCGCAAAGCAAAATATAGAGCGGATTAAGGAATATAATAATATTGAGAGATTTTGATGCATTCTGATACTAACCGGCAACTAACCTTGGCGAGCGCGGAACAAATATTCGAGTTTCTCTCTTGTCAATGTATTTATTGAAAAACCATATAAACAAACATGAAAGTAACTAAAGGTCTCCTCTAAGCCGTACATAGTTTCGTTGTGCTTTTGTTTCTATTAAAAAAAAAAAAAAAAAAAAAATTTCTGGCTTTCAAGAGAATCTTAGATGCCTATTAACTTAAACAAATATGCAAAGGTATTTGTTTTTTTTTGTTTTTATAATTATGAACAAGTCATATTGCATTTTCACTTCACATTTTTCTCTTCAACTATTATACATATTCTCATCCTTGAAGGATACATTATTACGACATATTGAAAATGAGAGAAAAAAAGGAAGAAAGTTAAAGTTAAGTAAATGCTTAATAAGCTCAAGGCATTATCAAGAATATTCGAGATCACGTTGATTATTAAATTAGTTCTGCAGAGGTGAAGAAAAACTGATGAAAGTACGCGTAGGCAGCACACTAACCGATCGATTAATCGATTTGGTACATACAGGTAGACTTCTGGACGTTACAAGAGAAATGACAAAGTTATCACACCTTTGTCCTTTAGTAGTGCGTTTTGTCATGTATGTTAACGTTAATGTTATCATTAAGTTTTTTGCACAATACTGTATAATTAAGAGTTTTTTTTTTTTTTTTTTTTAATCAATAATTACTAATGCAAAAGAATATTTATTTTGAAAACAACTTTACTTGTAAGTAATTATTTTGACTAGATATAAAGGTGACCTTGAAAGACTTGTTAAGCTTTATAAAACTATATAAAAAATGACGCCATATTTACCGAGACTGACATTTTGAAATTGTAAACTTTGGTTTTTTTTTTTCACATACATACTGGTATCGTCAGAACGAGATATAAAGAGTTGAAGTATGTTGAACATTTGACGCACATACTTCCGGATCTTTAGAAACTGAACCACTCAATAGAAATTTTATTGTTGAACTCAACGTAAGAAAAAGATAATAATTATTGCATTGTGATAACTATAATGATCATCATTTGCAAATGTTTATACAATTATTTTTTTTTTATTTTTATTTTTTTTTAAGTTTTTTTCGTTTAAATAAACAGAATGAATGTGGGAAGAGAGAGGGTGAGTAAAGAGGTGAGGGAGAAAGAGAAAGGCAGATAGCGAGAGGGAAAACGGAGAGAGAAAGAGAGAAAGAGAAAGAGAGAGAGAGAGAGAGAGAGAGAACGAGAGAGAGGGAGAAAGAAAGAGAGAAAGAAGAGTACGTGGGAAATAGTAAGAGAGGGGGAAAAAAAAGGAGAGGAGAAGCATATTAACAGAATTTATATGTAAGAGGTTTGCGTATACAGCTGACAATCAAACCTAAACGCATTTCATATTCATATCCGCATTCGTGAAATATCTACACATGTACAGATGTATAAAGACAGCGTATAGAATGTATAGGTTTTTATACATATAGGTTTGTAGATATATGTTCTCTAATAACTAAAATGACAACAACAATAACAAAAGAAATATATACACACATATATATATGTGGACCATAAAGTAAAACAAGCTTTACATAGAGTATAAAATCATTCTATGGGTTAGTTGAATTTTATATATGTACGTGTGTATATGTAAATATATGAATAGATACGTACATATATTAATACACACACATCCAGGCATACGCACACAAAGTTATATATATATATATATATATATATATACATACAAGGGTACATATGCACATATAGATATATGCATGGGATCACATTTTATCAAGCGTCGTATATAGCTAAGCTTAAATTTAAATGCTATTCTCAAAATATGTATACGCAAATATATATACATATATATATATATATATATATATATGCGTGAATGTATATAAAAATTCTATATAGTATTTAATACTTGTTCTTTATGCGGAAAAAAAAAACATACACACACACACACAAAACAAATGACTGATCGAGTGACTGCCGGCCTGACTGTTTTCTATAGTTTGTTGTTTCACATACATGTGTTGTAGGTATTGTTGTTGCCGTTGTTGTTATGGTTCTATTGCGTTAACAGCTATATGATCATTTTGTTGTGATCGCATTGGCCTTGGCCTTGAATCA